ACCTTGTCGAGATGGAACTTGAAAAAGTTCACAGCACCGCCCCTAGAAAGGCACTATACCTGAAACCTTCATCGTTCAGGTAATCGTCGGCTCACTAGAGTCGAAAAGCTTTAGCGCGAGACGAAAAAAAAATTACACAAAAACCGTGGTATTTAGCGGTTTCTAAAAACTCGTTAATGGTCTGACTTTCGCGGTTTCAAAATATCCATTTCAGTTACTCGCAAACTTCAATTTTCATCAAAATTTTTTTCTGTGGCTACTTTCTTCAACAGTCTTTACAACAACGACCTCATCCTTTGTCTTTTCTACCTGTTCCATATAAAAGTTGCACGACCCATCACATAATAGATCACATAGAGGACGCTTTAAACCATGCATTTATATCATATATAAACACAGTCAGAAAAACAAATTCATTCATACTCTCAGCTTCATTAGGAGATAACGCCGTGACCCTCATTCTCTCTTCATCTATCTCATATATCCATCTCCACTTGTCCACACAGACACTCACCACACTACATCTCGGAAGCAATCACATTGGAGACAAAGGGGCACAACATCTGGCTGATGCACTACGAAATAACACCGTAACCATCATTCTCTCTTTATCTATCTCATATATCCATCTCCACTTTTTCACATAGACACTCACTACGCTGCATCTCTACAACAATCAAATCGGAGACGAAGGAGCACAACATCTGGTTAATGCATTGCGAAATAACACTGTGAGCCTCATTCTCTCTTCATCTATCTCATATATCCATCTCCACTTTTCCACACAGACACTCACCTCACTAGATCTTAGATTCAATCAAATTGGAGCTCTCGGAGCACAACATCTGGCTGATGCGCTACGAAATAACACCGTGACCCTCATTCTCTTTTCATCTATTTCATATACCCATCTGCAAATTTTCACACAGACACTCATCACACTACATATCTACAACAATGAAATCGAAGAGCAGCTTGAAGCTCGCTTGAAAGAATTGATTGTGCGGATTAAACAGCGAACAAAATGGTGAACAATGGTTTCGGCGATGGTTGAACGAAGAACTGAAATTTCTAGTTGAATGCGTGATTTGCTTTTTTTATGCTTTTTTTTGTTTGGAAGTGACATTAAAGCCTTTTAATTTGGAATATGATATAGTTGATATTGGTTATGACACAGTGTTTGTCCTATAATGGAAGTATAATGAGATGGATGTTCGTTTTTTGAATCTTTGTACGTGTGTAACGTCGGTGAAACAAGACAGTGTATGCTCCTATTGTCAAGAATTAGTTGACATGGATAATATTTGGTTGAAAGTTTTTCGGGCAATGTTGTTTGAAGGAGACTTTTATTTTCAATATGTTATTGTTGGTATTCGACAATGTGGATAGTAGTTTGTTTGTGTGACTTGGAAAGATTAATGATAGGAATATCGGATTTGGATTCTGATTCATATCGAATCAAGTGTGAAAGGATCAAGAAGTCGCAAATTTTCTCGTTTTGGTAAATACAATGTGATTTTTCTGTGATTAATAACTCTAACGGTTAGCTGAAGATTTTCATGTAGAATACGATCTATGTAGTTATTTGTATGAAATATATATGGGATTCTGTTCTCCGAGCTGGCACATTTCCTGTTGGAATGGTCCATGAAAATAAGTAGTATTGATATGAGACAGTGTTCTTTATAAGTTCTTCGAGCTTTATGATGGCTATATATGGATTGAGTAGTTGTTGCCTAAGACAATGGATTGATTTTTAAGCGGCTAGGTATGTATTTCTATGAAATTGGTATTTTTTTTGCTGTTGTATATAGCCAAAATGAGCTGAATAAATGTTGATCGAAAAAAGTCACAAATACATTCGTGCTATTAACCAGTTTCGTGTTGCTGTATGCGCCGTAGATCTTTTGTGTTGTATCACAGCTGGATAAATTGATTGCAAATAAAACGATCAATGCAATTCGTGAGGTGGAATGATTTGAATTGAATTGAATGAACAGATCTTTTAAGATCTGTTCATTCAATTCAATTCAAAAACTAACCTTCTAATAGCTTTGACGAAACACTAAAATCAGAAAAACAGAGTAATGTGTTTTTCTGTTGTAATGTTTTCGTATATTCCTAACTAGAGATGTCTTAACCATACCTATGTCTATATCCACATACTGTGTATATCTAGCTTATGCTTGTATGCCATTAGTAAAGCCAACATTATATACTGAACTTCTCGAGAGCACAGCTATTTCAATCAATTAAAAACCGGCAACTCATCTGAGTTCAATTCAATTTATGATTTTATTTGAACCCTATTGAGAAAAACGTTTAACAGAATCTATAAGCTGAATTGAATTATAGAATATTTCGACAAACCTACGAATCCAGTGTTTTTGGAATGAAGAATTTCTTTTGAGATTTCATCTGTTGAATTGAGATAAGTTGAAACATCGCGCTCTGTGTTATGCTTACCTATGAGATAGAGAAGATACTGTCATTTTTTTCATACATCTAAATAAAAGCATGCAGAAATTACGGATAAATTCTATACTTATGATTTCTATTTGTTAGCTTGGCACCAGTTTGGAAAAGACACTCATACAATAATATGATAGTCTTCTGTTTGCAGTTCGAAACAATCACAAAATGTACAAAAATGTCACATGTTGGATGGCAGCTATACCTGCCACTTATCTTCACTAACACAATTGACATGAGAAATATAGTTATTCTACTAACGATACCCCGCTCGCATACTTCAGAACAACCAGAATCACAGACTTTTTCTAACAATTTCAAAAATCTAAATGATATACGATAAAATCGAGAGAAAAACAATTCTTATTTAAATCGATTTTGCATTCAGCAGCCGTATTCAATAAAATCTTACACTGAGTCAGCAATGAAGCGCGAGGCACAGAAGTTACCATTTTTGCTACTATTTCCCAGGATAGTATCAACATAACTACTACAGTCATACAATAAAAAACAACTATGTTACTAACGTCAGCCTATTCAAGAATTGTACTGATTTTCTTCGCAAATACATCATATACCGACATACCAATCATTCATAAAAGAAACATAACACCGATATAACAACCACCTTTCAGGCTAGTCAACATAACAAATCACTGCTCTTCATGCAATGCACCATCAACAGTGTAGGACAAAAAAATGATTAACAAACATATAAACCACAGACAAATATTTGCGACCACGAATAGGGGTCGCACTTTAACTTTACTTTAAAAGTTAAAGTTAAAGTGCTTGTGCCAGAGGTGAGAAGCGACCATGGCCAATTATTGGGGCC